GTACCAGAAGAAATGATCCGATCTCTACCATATTTATAACCGATCTTGTGTTGATGGAAATATTGAGATGTAACAAGTCTGGAAGTGATCGGATGTTAATTTCGCTTTTTATGAGCTTCACGGATATTCAAAATTTCGACCTTTTGTGGGGGAGGTACCAGAAGGAGTGGAGCGATACATTTCATCCTCACAGCAGATCTTGTGTTAATAGAAATAATGGGATGTGTGAAATATGAAGAGAACCAGATGTTTATTTCGGATTTAATGATCGTTCTGGTTATTCAAAATGTTGACCCTTTGTGGGGAATCTTTATAACAGACCTTGTGTTGATGGAAATATTGAGATGTATCAAGTCTGAATGGAATTGGATGTTAATATCGCTATTTATGCACTTCGTGGATATTCAAAACATTGATCCTCTGTGGGGGAGATACCAGAAAGAGTGGACCGATATATCCCATCTTCCCACCAGAACTTGGGTTAACATAAATATTTTGATGTGTGAAATTTGAAGACAATTGGACTCTTACATCACATTTTATATTGAGTTATAATTACTCAACATTTTGAGCCTTTGTGGGGGATATACTTGATAGAGTGGACCGACATAGTCCATTTTCGCACCTGACCTAGCACTGATGCAAATATTAGGATTTTTCTTTCTGTGCAGTAAATTGTTTTGAAAATGTCGAACTTTTGTGGGGGAGGGACCTGAAGGAGTGAACCGATATTGCTCATCTATGAACTCGATATAAGTTTTATAATAATATTACGATGTACCAAGTTTGGACCAAATCGTATACTCCCTTCGAGAGTTATCGTGACCACCAGCCAAACAGATGGACGGACGTAAGGACATCGCTAGATCGACTTCAAATGTCCTGAAACGATTTTGTCGAAATAATGGTTTTAGTCTCTAGCCATATGACTGAGGGTATGAAAAGAAACCGGTGTGGCTTGTATAAGCATTATTTTGGTATGCAGAGCTTGGCATTTCTCATAGCAGTTCATTTCTACTTTGGAATGGAGATTTTTAGAAAAAAACTTTTTTTTTTGTTGAACTTTTTTTGGGGAAGGGTTGGCCGTCCCAAAAAATAAATTATTTATTTTTTTTTTACAAGAAAGCTTTCAAAACTCTGTAGGGGGTGCAAAATTGCTGTCTTGAAAACAAAAACTAAAAGAAAGGTAATAAAAACCAAAGAAAGGTCTCCTCATATTTTTCGCTTCCGACTGTTTTATTAACTCTCTTGTTTCTATAATAACTAACCCCCAACCCCACAATAAAAAGAAAAAACAACAACAAAAAGAAAAGATGTAATAATCTATTAATTTGAATAAAAATAGCCAAAATGGAAAGCATAATAAAAAATAAAGAAGAAGCAACAGCCACATAAATTCAACACAGTTAGTAGGGAGAATATTGTTTCCTTTTAAGTTGAAATATCAACAGGGGGTTTTGTAATAATTTAAATATTTAATATTAAGTATACGCCACAATAGACTAAGAGAAAAAAACTGAAAATAAGAATATTAGGGATAATGGAGAGGGAAAAGAAAATAATTTGACTAAAAGACACAATGAACAGAGAACATTTAGTAATACCGTATTTTACAGGCAAAGAAGTCGAAGAATAAATGTGTTAATGAAGGGTACAAGCTGAGAGGAGAAATACATAAAAAATCAACATGGGGTAGGAAATTAAGGTATAAAATTTAATCAAGTCTTTGGGGGTATATTTTTGAGGTAGACCTATTTTTTGGAAATTGATGTATTTGAACTGCAATATGCCGTCATTTGAATGGGACGCATAAAAGGCGTATGAAATATTTCTTACATTTGTAAATCATACGCCACTTTGTCCCAAACATATTGGCGTATGAGTGATGATTTTTATGAACATTACCCAGTCTATCTGTAGGAAACAAAAAACTATTTTCGGAAGATGACACTTTGCACTACAAAAATAATACGGCCAAAATCCAGCTGATTTTAAGAGTAGAGCTAAAAAATAAGTATCAACATTTTGAAAGGGGTCAAGTTCCCCCTTTTATATTTTTAGAAAATTTTCGGATCCAAATTCCTCGGCATCCATTCATTTTAGGTACATAGTGCCTTTCGCAATATTGCAGATAAAAATATGAGGAATATTTTGACTAAAAATTTTAACCCTCCAGCGAGTCACTAAAGGGGTCTTTTTGGTTCTCTTTTAAAAATATGGTTAAAAACTCCCTTTAAGCGAGACTGTACATATTCTACAAAATTCTTTGCCATAAAATTCTACTATAGGTCCTGAAGGATATCAAGAGTGTAGATCTTACTTAAACATCAGGAATTCATATATTTTTAAATTACATTTTAGGGCCAAACCCGCACCTTATACGAGTTTGTGCTAAAATCTCCAACAAATTATCATTTTAAAAGGATGACGTCAAAGACAAAATTGTTCTTCATTAAATTTTGCTACCAGCCACTAAAGAAAAGAAATCTCAAATTCTATTCTCGAAAAAAAATTTGGCCCGAAAAAAAGTATTTCCTAATTTTGTTGACGATTTCTTCTCACTTTTTTCGACTTTGTGCTAAAATCTCCAACAAATTATCATTTTAGAAGGGTGACGTCAAAGACAAAATTGTTTTTCATCAAATTTTACTATAAGTCACCATAGAAAAGAATTCTCAAATTTCATTACTTCTCGAAAAAATATTTGCATCAATGGTTCAAAAATAAACAAAATATTTCCTAATTTTATTGACGATTTCTCCTAACTTTTTTCGAGTTTGTGATAAAATCTCCAACAAATTATCATTTTAGAAGAATGACGTCAAAGACAAAATTCTTCTTCATCAAATTTTACTGTAGCTCCCCTAAGAAAAGAAATCTCTAATTTAATTTTATATCAAAAAAAAAAATTGCATTAATGCTTCGAAAAAATATCCGAAAAAATCCCTAATTTTTTTTGATCAATGGTTTTCTGCAAATATCTCCAACAAAGCATCATTTTAGAAGCATGACTTCAAGGACAAAATTCTTCTTCACTAAATTTTACTATAAGTCACCAAAGAAAATAAATCTCTATTTCCATTGCATATCAAAAAATATTTGCAGCAAAGTTTCAAAAAAAATCCGAAATTTACTCTCATTTTTTGATCAATTTTTCCTCGGACTTTTTTCGAGTTGAAGCCTGAAACTATCATAAAATTTCGTTGTAGGTGAAAGTTGTGAAAAGAAGAAATATTCTACACAAAATTTCACTACTAGTCTCAGAATAAATCATATATCTAGGTATAGTAGTTTTTATGAAAATTACATTCAAAATGTAGGTACTAAAAGTGAAAATTGTGTTTTTCTTTTTTACGGTTAATTAAACATGTATCCAACCCGAGTCAAAATCTCCCTTTTTTTCTTCATATTTTTGGGGAATATGTCAAAGTAAGAATTATTTTAGATCAGATTTTATTGTGAGTCTTTGAACAAAAGAGATTTGTTTGCTTAATATACCAACCAAAAGCAGGATAATTTTTTTCTTTATAAAAACCTTGTTTATTAAAAATTTGGCACTTTTCTCAATTCTCTCGAATTTTTCTTATAACTTCACTACACAACAGCTATTATGTGTTATGAAAAATGCCAAATTAACTTTATAGTGCTCGTTTTCAGATCAAAACCCCCAAGGAGTTTTGGCTTTATAGACCAAATGTTGTTAAATGTCCTTAAATAATTTTGACCACTAATGGGTTCATATTTTTGATTTTTTTTTTAACGGAACGCTAATGCCATTATCTCTAGAAGGGACCTCTAAAAAACCTGTCCACACAATTCTCGAAATAAAAAATATGAAAATTTATATTTTTAATATAGGTGGCGTAGGATGTATAACCACACTCATACGAAAACTGGAACTCGCATATAAACAAAGAATAACTTTCAAAATTTGATTTTTTCAATAAATTTTAACCATTATATCTAAAGAAGAGATCCTATACAGAAAAAAAATTGGCTTTAAGAAATAAAATCATATTTTTTAATATATGTGGCGTATGATGTACAACCACACTCATACGCCAAACCGGTACTCTCAACATATAAACACACACAAGGAACTTTAAAATTCAAAACAATAAAACTCCAAAACTTACAACACTCACAAGTTTTTATTGTTTTGAACTTTTCAAATTTTACACAAAATCCAAAGCATCACCACCAAAAAAGGAAAAAACTCAAACCCCATTGTGTTTTAAATATTAAGTGGAAAATTTAAAACATTCTGCAGGCCTAGAGCCCCAAAATAGTCATCCACACTTCGTTTTGTTATTCTCAAGTTGACACTGCACCCAAAACAGTTGTTATGGCCATGAATAATTCGCCAGGCTAACAAAATATTTATGGCCAACAGAACTATTCCGAAGGAGAAATAAAAAAAAAGTTGCAGCAAAACAACAACGTGGAGTAGGATGTTTGGTCTGCAACAAAAATTGTCACGTTTCGGGTATCTTTTACTTTTTTTGTGTGTTCTGAACAAAACTCAAGTGTTTTCCAAGTTTTTTTAGAAATTTTTTTCTTATTTATTTAAATGTATGTGTGTATTTTCTAGCCGTTAAGTAGTAACCTCTAAAGTATTGTCCTACAAAATATATGTTTTTAAACTTTGTTTTTTTTTTTTTCTAATACCACATTTCTTGTTGTTTTTTCTCCTTTTTTTCTTTTTTATGTTTTCGTTTTATTTTTTTACTGTGCATGACAAACCAAAATTTTTGCGTTACGTTTTACTAAAACTTGCCACTCCTTTTATGCCACTGTGTCTCTGTGTATGCATGTTAACTGTTTAACCTAATTTTGTAATCATCCGAAAACCGAAAACCACCTCCAACAACAACAATGCCACGATGCAACCACCCACCACCAAAAAAAAAATGCACTCTCCTCCTCTATGCATCCTTTGGCATTGCCATCTACTGTATCCTGTGATTTGCTTGCATGCCGTTCCTTTTTCAAATAAGCAGTTAGCCTAATCTCGACTCCGTCAAATTTTTGTCCATTTAAAGAACAACCATTGCTGGGACCGGGCGCTGCATTCCCACCATTTGCCGGACCAGAATTCCATCCCACCACACCGGAGAATTGGAAAGGTGCCAGTGTCCATCCCACAGCATTGATGAAAGAAACAGCTGCAATACCCGGCCGCAATACAGCAGTGGCGGCATTTACCGCCCAGGGACAGGCACAGGTGAGTTGAACAAAAACAAAAAAAAAAATAAAATTTAATTAAAATATTAATAATTATTATGACTTTTTGATTTGAAAATGGCTAATTTAATTTTATATAGGAGAGCGTATGATTGATTTTAATAGCCATTGCGGGTGGCGTATGAGTATTTGAATTTTAACTTATTATTAGTTGGGGTATTGAAAAATAGTAGCATTCGTTGAAAAATCCAAAAATTGTTTTATTTGATGTCCTCCTTTACTAAAATATATATTTAAGGACTATTTGGGTCCTTCAAAACAACCTTTAAAATCTAAAGGCTTATAATATTACATCAAAAAAAGCACTTAGATGCTGATATGGGGCCCTCACAAATAGTCCTTAAAATCCATTAATGCAAACATGAGTCCCTCAAAAATTGTTCGAAAAATCGTCGTTTTAAGTCCAAGATGAGACTACAAAAAACTCTACAAAAAGCCTTGTTTAAATGCTCATTTCAAACCCTCAAAATAGTCCGGAAAATCCACGTTTGTAACCCTTAAAAACACTCAAAAAAAACTTTCCGCTTTTAGAGGCTAAAATATCCACTAAAATAGTCTTGAAAATCGATGTATGAAGACTTATGTGGGTCCTTCAAAAATATCCACGTCAGAGGCTCAGATAACCCCTCAGAATAGTGATTAAAATCAAAGTTTAAAATCTGGCATAGGCCCCTCAAAAATAGTTATGAAAATGGACGTTTGAAGGCTAAGAAGAGCCAATACATAATTCTTGAAAAAAGCCACGCCCCTCAAAAATAGGCTGGAAAATCCACGTTCAAATACTTAGTGAGACCATGGAAAATACTCCTAAAAGCCAGCTCTTGACGTCTGAGATGAGTACCCCAAAAAACCGCTTAAAATAGTATTGAAAATCCCTGTACAAAAACTGTTATGGGTTCCTCAAAAATACTCCTGAAAGGCCGACATGAGGCCCTGAAAACTAATCCTTAAAATCCGATTCCAAAGGCTTATATTAAATCCTCTAAAAAAAATTCGATGCATAAAGACTGACATGAGTTCCTCAAATATATTCCTAAAATTCGCGATTAAAGGCGGATATGAGTCCCCCAAAAATTATTTTCCAAAACCGACTTAAGGCTCATTCAAGTCCCTAAAAATATCTCACAAAAATTTAAGTTTGAAGGCCAAAAATCTTCCTAAACTATGCTTTCATGTGCCTCTTTTAGTCCCACAATTAATTGCTTGAAAATCCACCTTTAGGGACTGAGTTGCGCTTCTCAAAAATATCCCTAAAATATGGTTCGAATCTCTAAATACTGCCCAAAAAACAGACGTTTGCAGGATGATATGAATCCCTCAAAATCTGCGTTTAAAGGCCGGTTGAATGGAATCAAAAAATTTCCACAAAATCCCCCTGTAATGGCTGATATGAATCCATCCAAAAGTTAAAAAAAAAAACATTTTAGGGCTGACAAGAGTCTTAAAAAATTTAAAAAATCCTTAAAAATCTAGGTTGTCACCAAATTTCAGTTTCCTGCAAGGCATGTCGTATACATTCTCCCGTAACTCATACGCCACCCTAGACAAGAAAAAATACTCCAAAATTTATTAGCAAAACAAAATAGCCGATATCAGTACATAAAAACAATTCTGGAGTACCCCGCATAGTCTTAAAAAAAAGCACCTTCTAAAATCCGTAAAAAAATCTATGGACAATTAAGTTATCACATAATTTCCAATTTCCTGCAAGCCATGTCGTATGCATGCTGTCGTTACTCATACGCCATACTAGGCAAAAAATACTCCTCAATTTATTTGCAAAACAAAATAGCCGATATCAGTACTTAAAAACAGTTCTGAAGAGCCCCATTTATTCCTCCAAAAACAACTTCAAAAATCCTTAAAAAATCTATGGACAGTTAAGTTATCACATAATTTCCAATTTCCTGCAAGGCATGTCGTATACATGCTGTCGTAACTCATACGCCATACTAGACAAAAACATACTCCGCAATTTATTAGCAAAATAAAATAGCCCACAAATTGTACAATGTTTATTTATACCCAACAAATATTTCACTCTTAACTAACAAAAACATTTTAAATTGATTTATTTAGTTTTTTATAATAAATTGTTTGTTTTTTTTTTCTACTTTTTCCTACCTTTCTTACCCCGCACATCTAGGGAGCTGTCATGATGGTTTATGGCTTGGATCAGGATACATCGAACACAGATAAACTCTTCAATTTGGTCTGCTTGTATGGAAATGTTGCCAGGGTAAGTTTTATCGACAACAACAACAACAATATGTTTTTCTTTCTCTAGTTTTAATAATACCTGTAATTGAGGGGGGGGGGAGGCGGAGAGGTAAAATAAATACTTTTTCTTGTAATTAAAAAGTTGAGAATTAATGGGGAAACATGGAGAACAATATTTTTTTCATGGGGTTTGAAGGGGGAAATACAGAAAATGGTTTATGTTACGTAAAACAAATATTTTTTTAATATTAAATGGTGGCGTATGATTTATTTAAATAGGATATCCATGGCGTATGATTGCTGTCATAACTCATACGGCAACAAATAATTATAATATACGATTTTATAGCTGTTTTCTACCAAAAAAATATGATAAAAATGTTTAGTAGAATATATCTATACATACATACAGCTTTTCAAATGGACTTACTTGTCTCATATATATGTCCAGACGATATACAGCTGTTAGAGAAATTCATCCGCCCTCCTTACCATATCATTAAATGCATTCAAAAATTGTTTGATGGTATCATTTAAGGGGCTTACACGGCACTTCTGAATTTCAAAAATGTTCTCATAAAATACATTGTGGCGTATGACTGTTGATATAACTCATACGTCTAGCTTATTCTACGAGTGTATGCCATTTATTTAATGAAAAGACCAGTTCCTTGGGACAAGATTTTTGGTATCTAGAAAAAAAATTGGTCTAATGTCCTGGCTTTTGACTTTTTTTCTGTGGAAAAAACTTTTACCTCTGATGTACTGGTGATTTTTTTTCTATTTTTTTATAGAAAAAAACTTGGACCTCTGAGGTCCTGGCGGTTTTTTATAGAAAAAAAACTTGGGCATTTTATTGCGATTATTTCTATGGAAAATCTTGGACCTCCTAGGTCCTGACGAATTTTTTTTTTTATAGAAAAAAACTTGGACCTCTGAGGTCCTGGCGAATTTTTTTAATAAAAAAAAAAACTTGGACCTCTGACGTCCTGGCGAATTGTTTTTCTATGCATTTTTTTCGGCGAATTCTTTTCTATGGAAAAAAACTTGCACCTCTAGGGCCCTGGTGAATAGTTTTCTAAAGAAAAAACTTTGACCTGTAAGGTCCCAGGAAATTTTTCTCTGCAGAAAAAATTTGTACCTCGAAAGTCCTGGCGAATTTTTTCTATAGGAAAAACTTGGACCTCTTAGGTCCTGCCGACTTTTTCCATAGAAAAACTTGAACCTGAGAGGTCCCAGCGAATTTTTTTTATAGAAAAACTTGGACCTCTGATACCCTGGAGATTTTTTTTCTATAGAAAAAATTTGTACCTCGAAGGTCTTGGCTTTTTTTTATAGAAAAAACATGGACCTGTGAGGTCCTAGCGATTTTTTTCTATAGAAAAAACTCGGACCTCTGATATATTGGACAATAATTTTACTTTAGAAAGAACTAGGGCCTCTGAAGTCTTGGCGATTTTTTTTTTTTTTTTTTTTTTTTTAAAAAGCACAAACCTGAGGTCCCAATAATTTTTTCTATAGAATAAACGCTTGATACCCTTAGGACCGTTAGACAATGTTCTGTATGATTGTTGTCACAACTTATACGTTAATCTTTACTATTCTCATTTCATTATTTTCTTGCACAAAAGATCTATATATTTTTTTATTTTCCAAATTATTTATTTTATAAATAATTCTTCTTAGTTTTTTTTTTAATTGTTCTGACTTCCTGTTATATATTTTTTTATAAAATATGAACATGTGTGTTAGCACACATGTGTAACTAACTTTAAAAACCAATTTATTTAAACCAAAAGCATTTGCTCTTAAATCCAAAATGTAAATAAATTGCTAGCCAGTGAGTATCTTTTGGGAAAATGCCAACAAAAATTATGGCCTAATAGTTTTATATAAATACAACAACAATAACAACAAAGTAATTTCCAAAAGGGGGAGGGCAAAACCACAAAAAGTATATCCTTATTTTGCAGTTAACTTTTATGTGGATATTTTTATGTGTATTTTATTTATATTATGATAATAAATAAAGTAACATATATACATATTAATATATGTATGTGTGTGGGTTTCCATGTCTCAGTGTGTTAACAAATCATCCAGTAACGCATAAAATAACATTGGTTAAGCCTTCCTTTTTACGCAAAATAAATTCAAAGTGATTAAGGGGCTTAACATAAAATACTTCGTTGAAGATGTATTTCCAAAGCAGTTAGCAAATAAACTCCAAGGGATATATAAATCAGGGGCCGGAGGGTGATAAACCACAATGATGATGAAACCCATTGAAAAGAGAGAGATAACTTATAACCACACATTTTATGTAAATTACTTATGAGTGATTAGATGTTTTGCTACCCAAAGGAGAACGAAAGTGGCTTTCAAATGTGTTAATATTTTAGGTTTAGGTCCTGAAAGGGTGGAAGGAAGCTCGCAGGGTGATAACTTAAGATGTGTGAATTTTTGGCCAAATAAAAATGATATAAGATGTAGTAATAGATTACTTTTTCTCTGGAAAAGTATATTCTGAAAATCGAACATTTTTCAGGCCATAGAAAATTGAGGACTGCTATTGTTGAAAACTCACTGTACTTCTCTTCACAATTTCATAGAAAAACTTTAGAAAAATTGCTTAAATTTCCTTTCCCATGGCCTTTGAGACGTATGAATACTGACATAAATCATACGCCAACATATTCTCTTATCAAAAATTTATTTATATAAGAATATTCCGAGAACATTGGGCAACATCAACCCACTTTGTACCACAAATTTTGCTTTTAGACAAGTCTTCATATGAAATAGAATAAGTTTTTGTTAAATTAATTTATTAAGGATATTTTCTGAGATGAGGTCTCATATAAATTAAGGACTTGAGAACGTAATCAGGAGATATCCCAGGAAATTTTGCATTTCAAATTAATCTTGTTTTTTTCCCTGAAATGTGAGCTGTATATAATTTTTTTTTTTCATTTAGTGCCTATCTCGCGTATGACTATTGGCATCACTCATACGTCAATAAGTTTCTTTAGAAAAAGGCGGCATTAGTTTGATTTCATTAAAAAAATTTCAAGATTTTTCATTGCACAACCTGTTTTTTTTTTCATTGCTAAGAAGTTGTTCTGGAATTTTTAAAAACCGATAAATAGGTAAATTTCATTTGGAATCGGCTTTGACGAAACGAAAAAACTAAAAAAAAATGGAAGGAATTTTAATAGGAAACTCTGTCAGTTTCAAACTCAAATAATGATGTGTACTGTGGCGTATAACTGCTGACATAACCCATACGACAAAAAAAGTATATGTTAATATTGATGCCTTTTGGACCGAAAAAAATAAATTGCAGGAATTTCGGCCTCATGAAAATAGGACTAAATCATATTTCACACTAAGTTATTAAAATAAGGCGTATGACTATTGGCATAATTCATACGTCAAAACAAAAATACAAAGGCAAACATTTCATAGAAGTAAAATAAATATTTTTTTTTTCAAGGAACTGATGAAATCTAACTAGTCTTTAAGTATAAAAGGTGACTTCTTTATTACAAAAAAAAAAAAAAAAAAAAAAACTTGGAAAAACTTAAAGGGATTGAGAAGTGAAATATACTTAGCCTATAAAAACGAAAATTGAAAAAAGTAAAATGACAGATTGCGTAGAAAATCCTTAAAAAAAATTGCATATAATTGTAAATTTGTTTATTTTTCATCTAACGCCTCTAGGACGTATGACATTACTCATTCGATATTGAGTAGTAAAAATATTTTTCAAGCGCATTAAATTTCAACTGTTTTATATTGAAAATCGAAAACAATTTTTCAACGCAGCACATTAAAGTATATTTTTGTTCAAATTATTTCATACCTACTTCCCCATTGAGTTGTGGCCTTCTCTTTCCCTCAGGGAAAATGAAAAAAAAAAACATTTACAAATTCCTCTCAACAATCGTTTTAGATGTCCAACACATGATATAAATGATAACTATCTTACAACAAAAGATAAAAAATATATATTTTTTATGAGCCTTGTCATTCATTTGTTTAGAGCCCAACAACGTTTATAATTTAGCCTCTTGTATTCAACGTTTTGTGCTTTTTCTAAAATATAACCATAGCCAGCTTCTTTTCTCAATGAAAACTCGCGTATGTTTGGCTGTGTGTTTTTGTGAGAGAGTGTGTCTGTGTGTCTGTCTTCAAAACAACATTTGTCCCCTATTATTATTTTTGTTATTATCTTCTCTCATTGTGTGTTTCTCTGTTTTTTGTTTTTTTTTTTATTATTTTCAATTTAGTTTCCTTTCAGTGTCGTAACACTTGACAGCAATTTACATTTTGTTATTTGCTGTTGTTGTTGCTGCTGCTGCTTTTGTTACAAAAGAGAAGAAAAATAGCGCGACACAAACGTAATATCTTTTATGGGAATTTATATTTTTTGTATTGTTGTTGTTTGCTATATTTATTTACACACTTTTAAATAATAACAACAAATGTTAAATTGCTAAAATTTTGAAACAAGAGACAGAGGGGAAGAGGGCCAAAGAGATATTCAAATCCAAAAAGATAACTAAACAGTAGTAGCAGCAGCAGCAACAACATCTCTGACAATGGCCAACAACAGCAACCCGGGTCATGTCAAAACAATAAACGAAAATCTCAAAGGTACAATTCACAACAATAAAAACAAAACCAACAACACTTGTGCTACGACGACACACGACCTGTACTCAGTCGACAGCCAACCAAACACTCATTGCAATAACAACAGCAGCAATAACAATAATAAACTCAAAGCCAAAGGTATTTTTTCTTTCGTTCTCACAGAGACAAAGAGCTCGTGAGAGCCATCAACAGAGAGTGCGAGGCCATAACATTTGATTTTTTTGTTTTTGGTTTTTTTTTTAGAATAGAACGAGAAATCCCTGAAAAATAACGGTTTGTTTTAATAGTTTCTTTGATGGAGAGTTATTTTTTGAAAATTGCATCAAATGTTTTTGTAATTTTTGTACTTTAATATAATGA